TCATGGAATCTGCTTCATCCCATACTTCACACTTTACATCCTCCTTTCTTTGTCCTACCTAAAGATGGGAGTCTCCCTTCAGCCACCAAATTCATTCACACAAACTAAGACCATTTGAGATTGTTCTTCTTACTAAGTAATAAACTAAATTAGGAAACTTCCTAAAGGTGTAATTCTCTTGATTTAAGAGATCAGAATACAACTTTTCTAATTTTGTGCATGCTAATTCTGTTCTTAGAACCATGACTACAATGACCTTGTAATTGAATAGAAACACATGGGGAAAATAAGCACATGCAACTATATGAGACATGAATTGAGTATGTTGATAGTTAGGGTCTATTGTAATATATATTCTCAAAGGACCTAAGTAAAAAACATTGTGATCTTCACAAGCTACAAAAATAATATCCAAAAAAATTTCAATGACATGTTGATGCATAAAAGTTACAAGATATGAAATTAAAAGTTACATAAGATTGAAAATAGTACGAAATTCTTCAATCTTTTAGTCCATAAAAGAAGATTCATCTTTTATGATCTTTGAATGTACTAAGTAATAAGTATTTATTATCATGAGTTAATAATTAATTAATAATATATTTTAAGTATTAACTCATGATAAATAGACTTATATTAATGTTGAATTATGAGAAGTAGTTTTTAGTTGGTTAGTTAAATTTTGGTTAATTATGTGAATTTCTATAATTTTTATAATCATATTTTTGAGAAAATGAAGAGAAATATATAATATAAAAATAATATAAAAAAAAACATGACCCATTGACTAGTCAAGCTTGTAAGAAGGTTGGAAGCACAGTCAAGTAGAGCTGCAAGTAGTGGGCTCGAGTGACTAAGGATCAGTGGGACATGTGTGTCACTCCCCCCCTATGTCACTGATGGCTAGTCAGGTCTGAGGCAAGTAGTCATCACACATATGTGATTGGAAGATGTTTGTCGCATATTGTATATGCATCTCAACTTATAAGAAATAGCTAATGTTGGACGAAACGCATTAAATGCTTTTAACTAAATTTTACGTATTTTTATTCTTAGAATATCCTTGATATATGAGAAGGAAGCACCTCCATGACATCATTGGATAAGTGTATGAGTGTAATTAATTATCTCTCACATGTAGGCAAATGATTGGCAATGACTAATTAAATTATAATTTTTCTACAGAGTCTAGGTCAATGATTAAGTCATTAAAATCACTCAATCATTAGCAAAGATATCGTCAATGTGATTCACGGAGTATTATTACCAATTGTCGAATAATTCTAGATAAAAAGATCATATATCTATTAAGTAAATCATATCTGATTGATCGACGAGCCATTGTCATCGAGAAGGGATGATCTATCGAAAGACTAATCGCCACCTCTTGAGAGCATACCAAATGCGATGAATAACTTCCTCTTGTTACACGTACTTGAGGATGAAGCTCCTTAAGATGTACTTCACCTCCATCCAACTCATTTTCATCAAGTGACAATTATCAAAGATTCGAAAGTTATCATTTGCTCTCTCGAGTGAGATCCATCAAAGCGATTTATCAACTCACCTCATTGATTTCTAAACTTCACAAGAAGATTTAGAAATTTCTCACATCAATGTTGTCTAAGAAGAATCTTTGAGGCTGTAGATATTGCATAACATTCCTCTTAAACACACAAAATTCTAACAATCACGTTCACAAGGCCAAAATTTTATATTAAATGAATAATATTTTAAAAACTTAAAATCATACAAATTATTACTAAATCGTTCATAATCACTTATGTAAGAATCATCGAACAGAACTCTATTTTTACCCGAATTATATTCATCAAGACACTGATGTCATTTTGACATCCGCACCTGATTTTTATTTACAAAATATTAAATATACTTTATATTCGTCATTTAGTCTAAAAATCATATTCTTTAAGAAAAATTCCAAAATATTACCATATATTATCTTACATCTCTATGATCACTTAGAATTTTTTTAATATTTTGAAATATTTTATCGAATTATAATTAATTAATTTATTCTTATTTTTTTTCTAAAAATATAGAAATTAATATTTTCTAGTTTTATAAATTTTAAATTTACGTGATTTATTATACAATGATTAAATCACTTCAGTAGGATAAAAAAATGTGCATTTAATCCACAAGAGTTGACGAAATATATTTGAATCTAAAAGTAATTTTTTTTTCTAGGAGAGTGAAAATTGTATTATTGATGATTTCTTAAAGATATAGAGTGCTAGTCTCTAGTTAAGTCAAATTAGTTGTGATGTTCTAAGAAAATCCAATCACTTAAGGAAAAAAATTAAAATCAAACTAATAGCAAAAAAATTATTGAGAATAGTTTGCATGTGATATTTTTTTTGCCTAAAATCATTTTGATCCTTTTCATCTTTCTAGCTCACATTTTATATCTTTCTAGGATTCTCATGTCACTGATTTTGAGATTTTCTCATTCCCTTGAGTGGTGTTATACATCAATAACTTCTAGGTGAAATGAACTTAGCCTTACTTTTATTCTGGGTTTACATAATAGTCATAAATATTTGTCACATTGAAGGCCAAATGTGATGTCATTCCTTTTTGTGAATCAATGATGTAAGCATTGCCATTAATCTTTTGTAAAACTTGAATACTAATTGAACTGCTTTCAATTAGTAAGATTGAAAGTATTTTCTAGACTAGATAAACTTGAATATTAATTGAAATAGTTTCGCTCTGTAAGTATGCTGTGATTAATCACCTAATTCAGAAGGTCTTTTTGATTTTTCTTATTAGATACCCATTTAACATAAATCATACTTTGTTGCATCCTACATTGGCATTATTGTGGGATACACCAACAATTAAGATAGCTCACTTGAGGATACAACCCCAATGTTAAGAGAAAGATCCCAAAAATACCATGAAGCATTAACTTATGGTTGTTCATTTAGGACAAGTGATGTCAGCAACAAAGAACATTACGAATTAACAAGATCAGGGCGTTGGAATCTTTGTTTTGTTGATGAGATAAATTAAAAGTGTAACCAACATGAATTTAAAAATTGATTGATTTTTGCAGTTTTTTATTTATCATAAATGTATTTTTTTATAATTTTTATATTTTAGAGTTTAAATGATTTGTTGCATATGATTAAAAATATTAATAACCAAACTTAGACTAATTAATTCACTATGCGCCTCATTCAACTAGTACTCTACTAGTATTGAAACTACCATAGATGATTGTTGATATGCTTTGATTACTAAGCTGAATATTAGAGTCATGGTAAATTGAAATCAAGAAATAAATTGTACATTGATCTCTTGCTCTAAAAGTTGAGCGAATCTCACAGTTGAGCCTTTAAACATTTTTAAGACTTGAATTCTTGCATTGATATATAGGTGGTACTCATTGAAAAGATGCCTTAAAGTTGAAGAGGACGCAATAAACAGAGCAAAGAAACTCAAAAGTATTCAATTGATATTAAATTTACAATATCAATGCTCATTTTTTGGGAAGTATTTTAGGTGCCATATGTCGCATCTAACAATTAGATCTATGGCCACTAACAGCTGTTGTCGGTGACTATTGGAAGACTAGAAATAAACCCTATAAATATATGACTTCCCCCTGCTCAAGAAAACGAGAATGCCACAACGATCAATCCATTTACTCTTCCATGATGACTTAGGAGACAACTAAGGACCCAGAAGAGAAGAAAAATGGGTATTGCTCAACACATCCAAAGAAAAAGACCAGCCACAAGATCTAGAGTTACAAAACATATGAAGGATTCCAACAAGCTCAAAATGTAAATAACTCCTAAGTTTGTATAAAGGAAGTGGGTGGATGGCTCATTTATGTGGTAACATTGAATACTTCAATTATTTTTCATTTATAATTGTGTACTACAGTAACCAATGTTACTATGGCCTGAACTACATAGTACATTAGTACTCAAGTTTGGCAACACCCTAAGTTATATTGCAGGTTGGAGCCACAAGGCTAGTGAAAAAGTGATAGCACCCTGATGGACTATATGATGGGTTGAGTGAGTAGGCTAGTAGAAGAGTGATAGCAACATGAGAAACTATCCAGTGGGCTGAAGCAAAATGGTCAATAGTACAGTGATTGACTTGAAAAATAATATCCTTACTAGGTGTCTGTCTAGATATGATTTCTATGAAGATTGTCAGAAACCCATGGAGTAAGAAGCTTTTGGGATAATGGACAGGCTGCAGGCCATAAATTTGCTTTAACCACAATCTAAATCTATATTTTCTGCACTGTTAGTGAGCTAGAAAAGTTAAGCAAATCAGCTTGATTAGGTTGAATATTCCAAGTAAAATTATTTTTTTACTATGTATCATTATTTCCATTGCATCTTGAAAACCCCCTTTAGATTCTATCACACATCCCCTTGGGTCCTCCGAAGGGGATATCAAAAGAGGAGAGACGAAGGAAAATGAGGATAACTTTTCTAAAAAACCCCTTGGGCCAAGAGTGATACCAATATATCCTTCTAGACATACAGATGCCATGTTTACTCCATAAAGAACCACACATCTGTGTGCAGAAATGGATTTCACATTGTTTTCACAACACAAGTAGTTTAGACCTCACCATGTCAGAAGAAATGAACGATGCATAAAGAAATGAACAGCAGTGGAATATCTGATGGGGAGTGAGTGAAGCAAGGTTTTCCAAAAAAAATAGTGCACCATAAGATGCGCTGTTTAGTACATTAACGGAAGAATAGATCAAGATTATTAATGGGCCTCAGAGTATACATACACATCAACTTTGACCATTTATATGCACAATACAAGAAGGGAGAGCATGACATACCACTTGAATTACAGTGCTTTTGCTGACTTTGACTGGGTTTTCGGATCTACCTTCTCACTATGGCCAAAATAACAGCAACACTCTCAGTGAAAGGGTCCACTCAATCGAGAAAGATCAAAGGGAAGGTCCCACAACAGACCCACCACAGCTAGAACTCCTTGGTCTTTCTTCGTAGCTCATTGAGTTCACTCTCAACCTCTGCATCCCGAAATGGAAAACCAGAGCTCGAGCTGCCACTACTAACCGTGCTTCTACCAGCTGGAAGCTCCCCTTTCTGTTAAAAGCCAAAATTGAGCAACAGGGGTGGAAATGATTCGTATAACACTTGCATAATCGGAAATATCATCAGGAGCAATGAAGTACCAGAGAGCTGCCTGACAGCTCCTTTCTCAAACTTGCAAGATCATCATCAACAGAGGAGCTCTCCAACAGGGCAAACTGCAAGGAGAAAATGACAGGGGCACAACCTGAGCATTTAATAATATCCAATATGAAAATATTAGTATGAGGGGCCTTACCTTCCCTTCAAGATCATCGGTAGTAAGCTGATTTAGAGCCTCAGCCTGGGATTCCATAGCCATGACTGTTCAGAGAGAATAAGACGACTGTAGTTTAGGACCATTCGCCCAATTTTAAATTGACGTTAGCATGTCACAGAAGGAGGATATAAGGTAGACAAAGTCTCAAGAACTCGGCATACAAATCTACATGAAGAACTTATCAGAATTTCAAACTTTCATCTTGAAGGGCAATTAATAGACTGATACTCTTAAATCCGACTTGGGTTCTAGGCTTATTGACTCAGATCCCGAATTCGATCAAAGCCTTCAATTTCGATAACAAGAGTACCAAAATTGGTGTGTAATGACAATAGATACAAAACTTATTCAAAAAGAGCAGAGAAATAACAAGAGTACCCTTAATTTTAGGACGAACTATTTGAGAAACTATATTAGGTTTACCACTAACTATAAAGTGTTCATTTAACATTATGACTAAACCCAAGAAGTGGGACACAATGGACTGTTGGCGGGTATTGTCTAAACAAGCCTGAAGAATATACTTCAAATTATAGATGATGTAGGAACCTCCTGCTTTGAAACCAATTGTCAAAAAAATTTAGTGCATCAACTACAAGCTTATACAGCATACTGGCATTCATTTTAAGAATGAGAAGACAGAACATGCTTTTGAATAGATTATGACCAACAGTCGCACCCTTCCAGGATTCAACGAATTTCTACTAAGAATAGTTGACCACAAGAGACATTAAGGAAAAGATGAAGGAGAAATCAGAAGTACACTTGTAGACTCTAGCACAGAATCATCCTCAACAACTAAATTCATCAATGGCATTAACCAATCAATGAAACATCTTTCTTTAACTAATTTCTTTTCTGACCATTACTTGTCCAAGTATGTGGAAGAAAAGATCACACAAGGAGCATTTGATCAGAGGACTAGATCGTTTCAATGCTCAGTATTATAAAACAATTACTGCCAAACTCTCATGGAATTTGTTCTTAAAAAAATTGGAAGTAATCAATCACTATTTACCGAAATTCATTTCAAAAAGAAGAAATTTTCATGTACGGACTACTGGATAAAATTTTATGAGACATAACACAGAGAAGGATATGTATTAAAATCACAGGTACAAAATGATTTTCATCCCTATGCTGACTTTCTATAGAGTGAAGAAATTTCCTCATGCCTTATCATGTTTTCTGAACAGTCAATGAGACAAACAATTCAATCACATGAGTTACAATGAGCACAAAAGAGGAAACCTACCCTTTTCCTCCATCTTCTCAAAAGCTGAAAGTGCACTACTTGTATTGACATTTCCCAACATCTCACTAACTTTAGTCGCAGTCCTAAAACAATCATCAACCGATAATTCAACTATTTTCAATAGTGGATAATCAAAACTACAGTTAGAAGATGGATCAAAAGGAAGAGTACTTTGCAGACTGCGCCCGAGCTTTGAGAGTATCCTTCTTTGACCTAGCTTCTTGTATTTTGCTCTCTAAAAGCTACAAAAAGAAAAATGTGAAACCTAGTAAATACAACATGATGATTTTTCCAACTTACAACCATGTCCGATCATATTCGTAATGGAAAGCCACACTAGGCAAATTTCGAAAAAAAATAAAATCTAAGTAAAAACATCATCACAGACAAGGGACAAATAAATGTTCGACTCCAGGAGCCATGTCATGTGTCTTCCAAAATATATATAAATGATGGAGAGGTTATTTTTGTAGAGAAGCTTTGTGATTTCAATGTTTCAAAGCAAAGAAAATCAATTGCTGGCGCTGCATTGATCATTTTCACCAACAGAGGACGACAACCACAGTTTTTTTCTTTGACATAGGATGCCAGAGCAGGCATTGCAAAGTTGGCAGGGTATGGATCAGATCCAAGACTGGCAAGATCTAATACATTTGAAAATGCAAATCAGCAAACACTTAAAAAAGGAGGAAAAAATGACCATCCAACTAGTCTAGGGATTGACGGCCAGAAAGGCAGCACCTGACAGTGATTTAGGCTTTGCTTTCCCTCTTCGTGGTCTTCTCTCAAGAGAGCACCGACGATGAATAGAATAACATTATCAATTTTGCAAGAAGTTCACCTTACAAGCATGAGGCATGGTGTTTACTCGATGTCAGGGAATGTTGTCTCAAACAGAAGATACAATCGTCAAAATTATGCGACATTGATTAACTTCTTGGAGAAACTTAATCACGTAAAATGATGTCCACAAGGAGAGAAAGAAGGGATTTTACTAGTGATGCTGTTGAAAAGGCCGGACACAAATCATTCAATACGAAAACCCAAAATCACAGTTGATAAAACAACAAAAAAATGCTCACCCGAGTATTGGACACCAGATTTTCGACCACACCCTTTTGCTGATCAAGCTGAGCTTTCAAGGAACTCGCATTATCCTGAAGAAAGTAAGCAAGGACAACAACTAAATATTCAAAGCCAAAAGCATATTACGGAAGCCATTGCTTTAAGATATGCTTTTAATCAGGTATCCATGTACCATTTACATCTGGCTAAGCAGCCAGGCAGGAAAGTACCATTTGAATTTGTTTTTTGTCAGCAGAAATAGGAATACTAACAGCCGCCACTAAGTTGTTGAATTTCTTGTGAGTCTAATAGGCAAAAGGTACTTTACCTGAATTCTGGAGAATTTATTGATTTGCATACTGAAAAATTTGAATATTGAACGTAACTATCCACATGTAAGATAAATCATTTCTAGTAAATTATGTGTTCCAGATTGTTAACAGATTGTCATAAAGCATTGTTATTCTTGGCCAGTTGCCTTCCTATATCTATTTGTGCAATAATTATACGGGACGACATAATTATGAAGCAGCTACATAATATGAATAATAGCATCTCTTCCCCCAATTTCACAATTCTATCCTTTTCCCCATCTCTAGTATACCCTTCACTGAGCTAAAGTCAGTGCCAAAAATGTACTTAACTATAGACAACTAAAACGCTGGGCTAAGATGTTTTAAGTGGTAGAGATTTGCAAATCAAAGAACCTTGAAACTGTGTTTGAGACAGGATCAAGATTCGGTTGATCAGGCTGGCTGATGATGGTAAGTGCACAAAATTTAATCACCTTGAATAACACTTTGGGTTTGAACATTTTGAATCCTTAAGTTACTCCTGGAATTTTAGAGTTCCCCAGATTTAACTGTGCCTATTAAGAGGAAGGTTGGATAACTGCAGAGATAGATCTATTGTTTGTGCAAACATTTTATACGATTTTATTTCTTGAGAATCATGAGACTAAGATCTAGGTCAAGGAGCATTCTCAAGAGATTGTTCAAGGTCAACGAGCCCTAGACATCTAGTGAAGAAGCACAAGTTTGTGAAAGCTTGAGGAAACCAGGGAAGTCCCCTCGAAAAGTTCATAAAGATAGGGAAAAGTTGATTTCATGCATTGACAACTATTTCGCCTGAGATGAAAGATTTTGCACGGATGTTAGACCCAGAGAACGAATTGTCTTATGGAAACTGACACACAGAGAAGTAGATAAAAAGCAGTCTTTGACTGAGATTAAAACATGTCTGTACTTCATCCACTGTTGTTTGGGACTAATCTAGGCCGCCGGTTTAGAACCTGTAGTTACACATCTCGTGTCATTATTTATGTCCTCTGGAGATAGACATTCAGACAAGTAGATAAACAGCAGTCTTTGACCGAGATGAACAAATATCTGCACTTCATCCAATGTTGTTTGGGACAAATGTAAGCCACCGGTTTAGAACCTGTAGTTACACGCATAGTGCTACGATTTATGTCATAGAGACAGTGTAGGATACAGTAGTTGTTTCACAGTTTTACTTAATTACGAGATACTGTCAGGTGGAACTGTCTAACCTTTGATTCTTAAGTAATACTATCATATACCTTCTATGTCTAAAACCCAGAGGGAAGACATATATGTCCTATTCCAAAGTTTCTAGTTCAGGAAGATTAACTCTCACTGCATACCGAAGAGTTGCAGAGCAAAGCGACTGTTTAAATATTAATAAATGCTTCTCAAGTAAAAAATGAGCATTCTCTTTGTGAGATTTTTCGCTTGAAGGCTTCTCATCTTCCCAGCTTTTTCTCCATCTCTCCACCGTTTTTCCCTCTTAGGACAGACTAAGATCGTTGAAATGGCAAGACTCAAGCTACATCCTTGGATAATGAACATTTTCCTCTTCAAAGGAATAAATCATGTTGGCAGCATAAGATGGTTCCTCATGACTTAGAAGAAATCGTGAGGAAAATATTTTTTCCTTAAAGTTCCCGCTTCAAAAAAAAGAGTTACACTTTAAAATATAAAAAAAGGATACGTACAGCATAAGATTTACGCCTCTTGAGTGCTTCACGGGCAAGATCCTCGTCACCTTTAGCAAGAGCCAGTTGTGCCCTACGATACCTGTTGACAGGAGCGCAGTCTTACAGAGAAAATACATATATTGAACACAACTATTAGCAATAAAAAATATCTGAGCATTATCTACCAATCTTCAGATGATTGTTGTGCAGCTTTATATTTGTTTTCCAACCGCTTTTGTGACGCCAAGACCTTGGAGGAAGAAAGAAGCAATATTAGGATATTTTCCTAACAATATGAAAATACAAAGTATAACTTATAAATATAATAATAATAATACTCTTAGCACTTTTTTATGAGAACTCGATTAGAAAAAAAAAAAGAAGAGACAATGGGAAGAACTCACTCCAACAGTCACATGTGACTGATTATGAATCGCTCATAGGCCAATCACTTTATGGTGACCAAACACCTAGTGGTTGAGTGTTTATAAAACTGCAAGTAAAACTCTCTGTGCTATCGCTAGGACTTGTTTGATCATCCTCATACACTCTGAACTATGCAAGGCGGACCAAATTTAAAGTAGGGCAAACATAAAAAAGAATATATTTTTTTAAGTTTACAATAGGCACGATGTCTATGAAAAAGGAAAAGATATCTAGAGACGTGAACACAGATCTCATGTATATGATACACTTGGAGACTACATACTTATAGATGCTACAAGCCTAGGTCCTGCACATCTGTTCTTATTGATATGGATGCGGAAGTAAACCACATCTAAGCTTTGACAGGAGTAGCTCCATTTTACTGTAGTCTAAATCTCGCATGTGCGCCAGTCAATGTTCATGAGGATGAAGTACTACCAGAAAATAATACAAGCTCTCAGAGAAACGACAGAAGAGGCAGTCATATGCAACCACATACAACGTATAAGCATCAATCCATCTACTTGGTAAACTGAAAATGAAAGATACCTGTGCCGTTGCCTGACGCATCTTTGTCAAGTCATCATTCATTTCGAGCACTGCTTGCTCCAATATCTTTTCAGGGTCTTCGACTGAACTCAAGATCGCATTTGCATATGACTGGACATGAGTGAACCAGTAAGTTATACCAATAACTAATAATCCATTTCAAAAATTGCATCAAGCAATACCACAACACTGATAATGAATCATTTTCCGGAGATCACTTACCCTAACTACTCTAGTAAGCCTATCAAACAAGTTCATTTGGGCTCCAAGTGCCCCTCCACCACGGCCAGCATATCTCAACCTGCTGCGATTGGATATTTGAATCCCAGTGGCCTTTAGAGACCCAACTATAAGAGAAGTGCGTCACAGAAATATAGTAAGCGACAAAGCAATGTTATCCACTAATAAAATACGAAAAATTGAGCCATAACCAGATAGATGACATGCATGAGTAATAGGGCATTGCAACCCGCAGTACATCCGCAAAAAAAGCAGTTAGGTCATTAAGAAGAGAGTTGAAAAGATTTCTGCCCAGTTTTTTTGTTTTCTTTTAAAGCAACAAATAATGACCGGCCTCTAACAACTACCTATGTCGTCGCAGTAGAAACAAAGAACAGTCTCATGATGGACATGAACGCAAAAGAAGGCAACAGTTCCAAAAGGTTCCGCGATGTCCATGTTGCTCAAAAGCTCGTACAATCAGTGTGGAGTTAAAGAAAGGAACAAGTAGCTCGGCCAGGACAGACGGAGGAAACACGCACCGTGGCTATTTTTCCACAACAACAATCAGAATGGAATTCCGAACGCACGCAGGTAAAGGAATCGAGAAGAAAAAGACTACAAACGACGAAGACGATGATGATAATGGTAAATATAATAATGATCCTTGGACGAAAACAAAATGGAAGACAGAAGTGGTGACCGGCAAGCCCAAACCATGGGGAAAAACATCAAACGCTCACCACCACCGTTGAAGAAAGACGTTTTGAGGGAAGCGCTGCCGGCGAGAAGCCTCCGCGGCGGAGGCCGGAGAGGGAGAGGCACCGCCACCGGTGGCTTCAAAGTCGAGCAACTAGTGGGGGCCTTCATTGCCATATCTGGGGGACCTCTCGAGCCCAAACCACGGCAGGAAGGACTACTCTGTGCGGATGCCGCCGGCGGTTCCAGGCGAACGAGGATGGTTAGAAGAGGATTAAGGAGCAAGGATCACCACCTTCTCCCGGAGAGGGTCGGGTAGGCATCGAGCGGTCCTCTCTCTCTCTCTCTCGCTCTGTCTCTCTCTCTCTCTCTAGCTGTGTCTGTAATCAGATAGATCCGAACCTGTTGACTCTAACTGGATCCAACAAACCAATTAAGAGTCCGGAATTGTTAAGCCTCAAGAATAAAGTTGAGATTAAAATCAGAAATAAAATAAATAATGTTTCGATATCTTGGATTTTTTGGGGTTGGTCCAATGAAAAGTAACTCTACTCCCGGTAACCCCTCATTTATTGGGTGCACGGCACGGGCTTTCTCAGCAGACACGGAGTGAATTGTAGGCGTAGATAAATAAATCTAAAATACTGAGGCTGGTTTCGAGCAATGAGTGACTTTTAAAGGAATATTTCAAAAAAGATAGAAATATGATTTATTTGAAGAAAACCCAGCTGTTTTGGCAGGAATCCATTTCTGTGGCGGGCATCGGCCACCGGGGAGCGGCCACGCCAGAAGCTCAGAGATCGTAGCTCCACGTGGGAGTATACCATTGGTGAATGAGCGGTCACTGGATAGCAGAAGGTTCTCGCCCGGAATGGTGTGTTCGAAAGAGTTGCCGAGATGGGGGTGGATTAGCAGACGAAGCTCCTGGAGGCTACCACCGCCAACATCCGCCATGGCTGAGCTCTCCAGGCCCGCCGCAGCCGCGACGGAGCTCCCCCGTCGGTGCCTGGATTCTCGTCGACGGAGTTCCTCTCGCGCGTTTCTCCCGCTTCTCCCTTTGCGATCGGCGCGCGGAGGGAGGAGCAATGTTGGAAGGGTTGAACTGGCGTTCGCGGCGGAGGAAGGGGAGCTGGAGCGGCCCCGGTGGAGCGGGGAGACCCCGCTGTCCCTTTTTGTGAGGGCGCTCATCTCCTTCAAGCCGTTCTATTCCGTCATGACGATGGCGGCCAGGGGGGTTCTGATCAAGTGAGTTTCTCTCTCCCCCGGCGCCTCGTCTCCTTTGGCGTCTTCTAACTTAGCTTGATCGTTTCATCTGAGCAGCACGGCGGAGAAGTCCAACGTTCCATGGAGGGCCATGGCCAAGGAGATCCTGGAGTCGGATGTTTACAAGGAGATGGAGAGGATCCAGGACCCCTCCATCGTATACCCTGACTGTGAGTTGTCTTGAATTCCTTCAACGTTCTCAGTGTACTGTTTCTTGGAAAATCAATTAAGAACTCGAGAAATTTCTTGCAATCGATTAATTATTTTTCGTCGGCGGGGAAATTGGTCTCCTTACAGCTAATGTATCCTGTCTTCATTACGAGCAGACTATTTGAAGCCATTCCATGGATATGATGAAGGCAATCTTTCTTGGCTGGTAAAATCCCTCACTCAATTAAGATTTTTGACGGTTGTTTGCTTACTTGTCTTTCCATCTCAGTGAAGCGCTTGCATTGTTCTTCTTCCAATTACTCTCATACGTTCTTATGCCGAAGGCTCGGCTGGTCTGCTCCTCTTGGCTTTTCTGGTTTCTCATCTCCTGATGTATGGAATCTTTTTCACTGCAGAAGCCATTCTCAAATGCGAAGAAATCTAACAGACAATTTTCATGCTTTATTTTTTATCAAGGAGCATTTTATTGTAAAAAAAAAGAAAAATTGTCCTACATTTTGATACCACCTTGACAAACTTTTCACTCTAGTTTATGCACTTTCTTGTGAAATTCGCGTTGCATCCTATTTTCCATTTTTTTCCGTGATTTAATTTTCAACGCCAATTTTCTACCACGTGAGCAATACAGATTGAATATACCCACATTCCATAGACCAGAATCTTAGTGATGATATGGCTATGACATTTTTTTTTCTTTTTATTTTTCTTTTCTTTCTTCCTTCTTGGTATCAGAAGGAGAAAATCTTATGGGGGGTCCAATCAATGGGGTGATAAATCTGGGTGCTTATGACGTGATGCTTTGATGGCAGGCTGCTGCGGAGGCAGAAGCAGCGACACTAGTAGTGGCGCAGAGAGCAGTCCCAAATGCCTCAGTTGAGGAAGCAAATGATATCGTGCGTGGAAGATGGCTGGATGTAATTGAACAGCACCACCAAAGGCATTCAAGAAATCTCATCATCAGTGATATTCTGGACATCGGATGCTCCATAGGGTTCAGCACACGTTGCCTTGCCAGCAGGTTTCCTTCAGCGAGACTCACCGTAAGTTTGGAAAATCTAGTCCTCGTGCACGCTTTTAAAGATTATGATTATTAATTTCTCTTCATATACGAGTTTATGGCTTACCTATAATTACAAGAATCTCGCGCTAGAACCTATAATTACCAGAGAATACCAGATTCATGGCCTACCTTACCTTACTCGCTGGAATACCACAAGGTCTGATCTGATCATGAGGAAAACTCCATGTTAATTAAGTGCCATAATCCATGTGCAGATGAACAGTTCATCTCCCATCTCTTCATGTCAGTTCCTTGATGTCTAACTGCAGGGTGTAGATCTGTCGCCATACTTCCTCTCCGTTGCTCAATTCAAAGAGAAGCAGAGAGCATCTAGGAGTAACCCAATTACCTGGATCCATGCCAATGGTGAAGCAACAGGCTTGCCGTCCAGTTCATTTGACCTGGTTTCTGCTGCCTTCGTGGTATGCCTTCCCCTCCCCCTCCAGGAACCTCATGGCTGCATCATCTGCTCCATATAATTATAGCTTTCTGCTGGGATTCCTCTCAAATCTCAGCTCCATGAGTGCCCTGCTTGGGCGACGGCCAACATTATCAAGGAGGCTTTCCGTCTTCTCCGGCCCGGGGGAACATTGGCCATCAAAGACAACTCAGTGAGCCCCCCCAACCCCATCTTTTCCCCCCGTTTTCTCTCCCCTCTAAGCTCTCCTCTGACGCATCCATTCCTCTTTCTTCCCGTCTTCCTCTGCTGCAGCCGAAATCGAAGGTCATCCAGGTGAGGCCTCCTCTCTCTCTCTCTTTCTCTCTCTCTCTCTCTCTCTCTCTCTCTCTCCTCGGTCGTGTGTTTATTAAACTGGATAGACGGAAACCTTCTGATGTGGTGGCCGGGGGTGAGGGATCTTGCAGGAGCTGTCTTTGGTGCTGTTTACGCTGATGAAGTCAATGGAGCCGTTCTTGGACGAGTACTATCAGCTGGATCTGGAGGGGGTGATGAGGGATGCCGGGTTTGTGAATGTCACCTCGGTGATGACTGACCCCCGTCGCAGAACGGTCACCGCGACGGTGCCATTCTAGGAAGCGGGTGATTCTCCCAGGGTTTCAGCTGATGAACCTTGAGTTGACCTACGATTAAGGCGAGGTTGACTTGGGTAGTCTTAACCCAATGAATGAGGCAAAATCCACGGTTTGCCATAATTGGAGTATTATGAAAAAGTTTGATTAGTTAAAATATAGTAAATATAATAGTGGTTGACCAGGAGGCGAATAGCGAAAAGGAGATGTCGGTAGTATTTAGAGCGTCTACAATAATGGATCTACGCCTTGAGACTTTTTTTTCGGTTTTCTACGTTTGACCTTCCGGGGTTCTCTAGCTCCAATGAAATTTCCATGCAATTTATGGAAATTGGTCCGTGCGTGAGGTATATGATTCAAGTATTCTGAGGTGCCCCCAGATGAATTCCTGACGAAGATGCTCGAGTATGGGCCCAGTCAGACGTTCCGGATTTCTGCTGTAGTCTCGCAGTTTGGAGAGGAGAGAGAGAGAGAGAACAGGTGTCGTTGGGTTGCAGTGGGAAAGCGTGGAAATGGAAGAAACGGCGGCGGGAAAGCGGGGGAGGGATCGTCACTGGTGCACGCAAGGAAGTCGGAGTCGGGAGGAGAAGAGGAAGCGATGTTCCCCAAGCAAGAGACGGCGCGTGGCCCACACCATCCCAAGCTTGCTTGCGGGTTCCCTCTCGCTGCCGCCGCCGCCGCCGGCGCGACCTTCCCGGGCGCTCGGCCGTATATGAGCGGCCCCTCTTGCGCCAAGAGAAGGGCAGCGTCGCCGCCGCCGGCCCTCTCCCCGGCCATTTCCCTTTCGCCCCAGGATGGGCATCGCCATGAGCCTAGTGGGCAAGATGGGTAAGCTTCTCCCCTCCCTGAATCTGTTGGGTCTCCTTCGACAACTGTCGCCACCCCTCGTCCTTCTCCTCTCCTTACTGATGCATCTGATGCATGCATGCCTTCGACGAAGAACTCTTTCTCCTTTGAATGCATCGGGATGATCTGCCGTTGACCCTGATCGCCGATGTGATTATCCTTTTGAAACCCCAGAAGTCAACGCCCGTCGACCCCGTAGGATGTTACCTCGGCATCTCTAGCATCAACCGAGGGGGGTGGGGTGTGATTGTTGATATGCTTTGCTTGTGCTTAAACATGAAGCGAATATTAGCCGTGTTTGAGCAGAGATCTTGGTCACTCGGGCTCCTCGGCCTCCACGGTTGTTCGTGAAAAATCAACCACCCCCTGATCCCGAGAGGTCTCAACGGGTGTGGGTCTGACTTCGTTGGCTTCTTCCTAGGGATGCCTGTGTCTCTCTCGGCATTGACCGACAGGATTTTCGATCAGTTCTTCAGCAAGGAGATCAAAACCTTTGAGGAATTCCACATCCATTACCTTGAGGTTTGCAAGTAAGGCTTCTTCTGTTCTTATTTCCAACCAATAAAATCTTTACGTCTACACCCCCGCGAGTAGAAAACTGATCCTCCCGACTTTCTCGCAGCAAGCTGAATTCAACCATGATCGGGCAACACTACGTGGCGCCGGAAATGGCGAAGATCAAGGTCAACGCGAAGAATTCAACTCGTGTGCATTTTTTTCATTGAGATGCTGAGGTTCGTTCTACATGCAGGAATGCTACAATAATTGGTCGAAGGAAGCGGACACCCAGAAGAAGAAGGACCTGATCGTCAGCCTCCTGACAGATCACGTCAAGCTGACCCAGACCGACCCTTCGGTGATGATGACCGCCCTGGTGGTGCCGCCCGCCGCCATGATCCTCAAGAGGGCTGGAGAGAACGTCCCCCAGGTTAAGAGATTCCGGCTGAACCTCGTCCCCGACTATCTCTTCGTTCCCGCCGTCACCTTCTTCGCCCTCTTCGGAACCAAGGCGCTGAAGAATCAGGCCTAGCCCCACAGAGAGAGAGAGAGAGAGAGAGAGAGAGAGAGAGAGAGAGAGAAAGGAAGGTGTCTGCGTCGTGGTGAGCCTGACTGTGCTCGCAGCCTCAATAAAGCGTGAGACGTCAGGGTTCGTGAGCTCATGAGTGTGGAGCCGGGCATCCGATGATTCGCATTCCGGTGACCGGATTTGGAGAAAGGTCTTCTTATATTCAGTAATTAACTCTTTTGGAACAATTAGTTAAGAAATTATCGACATGCTTTATGCCACGTGTCGGGCGGGCGACGGCTCGCCGCTGCCGTCGGGGTATCAGTCGAACATTTGAACCTTCTCCGCTTTATCCTCTCTTATCGCCTTCGCCCACGGCCAGCTGGGGGGATCGATCTCCTGGCCTACGTCCGCCATGGCCGCCACGGCAGCGTCGCCCTCGCTGTCGCCTTCGCCTTCCTGCCCTCCCGAAGCCCTGACGTTCCTGGCGGCCTCCAGAACCCGGAGTATGCACGCCACAGTGCCCACCTGCTTGCGCCCTCCTCAGCCGAGGGTGCCGCTCGGCCAGCTTCGACAGAACCAGGTCTCCTTCTTGCGGTCTGTGTGTCACGAGGAGCCATTAATTGGTGGCCGTGGCCCCGCCGCCGTCCAGTTTCTGGTCGGACGGGACAGCTCGAGCTGCTGCGCTCCTGTCAGGTGCTCCATCTCTCAGGTCCATAACTACGGTACAGTTGACTACGAGCAGCGTGGTCGGCTGAAGTGGAACTCCCTCTACCGGAGGATCGCAATGACGGAGGATCCCCGGGCCGGGGCTGGTTTGGAACTGGAGAGGTGGGAGTCAGAGGAGAAGAAGCTGTCCAAGTGGGAGCTATGCCGCGTCGTGAAGGAGCTGCGGAAGTTCCGCCGGTACAAGCTCGCACTCGATGTCAGTGCAGGTTCCTTCCCGCTTTATTTTTACTGCTTAATTTCACCTCGGATGACATTGTCATTCCATATTTCCGCCTGAGATGCTATTTATTTGAAATAAAAATCTCAGAATTACTCAAGTAGAAATTCTTTAGCTCCTTCCCCAACCTGCTTCTATTTATCACAGGCGTAAATATGGTACCATGTGCAGATCGAAGTCGAATTTTGGAGCATTTTTGAATTTTTTTGTGTTTTTACATTTTGTTGTTGCTATTGACATTGAACTCGTGCGTGTAGTAGAAGGGATGATTTTCTAGCATAAACTCACTCCACCAAAAAAATTGAAATGAATTTTTTAATCAGAATTTTCGATAGAAAAATTTCTTTCCTGATATGAGCCCTCTCTCCATGGTCTCCAATCTCCTTGCTCTGTACATGGGTAGCATGAAAAAAATGGCTGTTTCCATCTCAATATAGAGGATGTGGTAGAAAAAAACTTATGAAAAATATAGATGCTTAAGGCAGGCCATGCCGCAATGGTGACAGGGTAGATTCTATTTCCCCAGTTATGGACCTTATTACGGCAGTTTACTTTATGTACATATTCAAATGAGGAACCTGTCTCATCACACAAGCCTGAAAATGTTTATTTATTACCGTGAAATAATTTGGCTAGTTGTGTGACACACCCTTTCCTGCACAGCACCATTCGTTCTTTGCATATATCCCTGTTTCGAACTTGTTTCACCTCGGGTGACATTCTCATTCCATTCTCTGGGCATTTATATTTAATTCAATTAAGGATATGGGACAGAACTTTGAGGCTTTGCTTTTCCTTTTTTATTACGAGTTTGTTTTTCAGTTTGTCAGCCTACTTTTGAGAAAAAAAAAATTCCCCTAGAATGGCCCTTTTAGTTTATTAACTCGTTATTAAACTGACAAGTTGTTATTGCTTCAACACTTTTTAGTTGGTCGATCCTTCCTTGATGACAAATGTATAATTATAGTTAGATCTCTGATACGATCCTCTTTAAAAGTATTTGATTGGGGCAAGTTGGGTGAGAAATCATGTTGTATTGATCAAGCAAACTCGTACAGAAAAGTATGGATAGGATGTCAAAGTGACAGTTCTTAATGGAACACCATATAAAGAAGAAAGAAAAGAGAACTAAGGTGAGGAATGAGATTCGAGAGGATCCCCTGCCTCTCCTAGTCTGGACCTTCTGTCCCCTTATTTCATTCCTTAGAGCTCTATTTATGTTCCTCTATCATTCTCATCTTAGACTTCCAATCTGTGGAAGTCTCTCGAAGTTTCTTCCAAGTGCTTCACACATGTCCCCCCTTATCATTCTGAGTCAACCATGGATCTCTGAATGGCAAGATATCCTTGATCGCAAAAAAAAAAAAACTGCTTTTGAAGATCCACTCCTTGCATGATGCACTAACTGCCTGGTTTCTTGCAAGATGAGCAACATAAAATCACCAAAGTTTTTGAAATGTCTTTCTCCTAAATGAAATTTTTTCACATAATTAGGCTTCTATCACAGTGTCCTTTTTGATTATGAGACTGATCCAAAGCTTTTCAAGTGTCTTTGTGCTCCCAGCCAATAAACTCAACGTTTCTGTTGTGGGATCAAGAATTGTTCATGTAATCAATCTTCTGCCACATTTATGCAGTTTATTGTTAGTCTGATTCAAAGTTTCGAATGTATTTTTTGAATGATTTAAAAATGAATGCTTTTGAATTAACTAGTAATGGGTCAAAATAAAAGTTCTTGGATTCCATAAAGATATGAAAATGGATATGGTCCTTGGCTATGGTGATTTGGTTCGCCCAGACCAATGCTTCGATTCATCATTTGTGAAGATGGATCTGTAATCCTTTCATTAATAGGCTGAGGATCTACTCTTTTATTTTTCAAAATTTGTAGAGCATGGGGAGTATAAAATCTCTTGTTTTAGCAATATCGATGTTATTTCACGTTGACTATGTGTGCATGAAGAGGGTTGTGGGCTTGTTGGACGTATTCTTTTGTTTGCTTTCATTAATTGGTCTGTAATATGCTTCCACATTTACCGTGAGAAAGATGAATGAGACCAGAAGAAATAAGATAAGTATCCATTGAAATATAACGGTGGAAAAATGTCTTGAGATATAGGGATGTGATGATGAATGAATGAATAGTGGAAGAGAAGCAGGAGTCTTCCATGAATTGACTCCTCACATGTCTAACAGTTTAGTGAGGTGAGAGAAATTCCTTCAGAACGAATTGATATAGGGATGTAATGATGAATGGATGAATAGTGGAAGAGAAGCAGGACTCTTCCATGAATTGACAGCAGCAGTTCTTACAATCGTGTGAGGTCACTGAACGTACAATGCGGTCTAGAGATTAATGCTGTTTTCATTTGAGAATGAATGAAAACTAGCACACCACTACATCAGAGGTATTCTCCAATTCACAACACTTCACTGCATCAGAAATATTGTCAAATTCAAAGACCGTCTGATGCTCAATTCACCAATAAAGAATCATCCTAGATATAGGGTTCCCTTGTTGTATCACTGCATTAATGATTATGATGTCTCTTTGTCTATGGACTGCACTTGACATAGTTTTATATATAATGTGTTTTTTAATTCGGAGTTTTGAAGTGTCTTTATTTACTCTACGTTTCTTGATCTAGATGCTTGGGGATTTCCTTGAACTTTTCCGTTGGAGTTAACAGGAGAACCCCAGAAGAGAGGCAGCATTCTTTTCTTAGTCTGAAAACCCTTTTTAGGGTAATAGCTTTCTTTTCCACAGAGGATGCTTATGTGATCTTGGGTTTCCCTATATGTCTCGCAGGAAATCTTCTTTAACCCTGAGTCCATTACTATCATCATCATAGGTATGATGCCATCAAAATAATGATTGAGCAGGAGTCGATTGTCTGACTGAGTGTCTGCATTCTAGAAATAAGTGGTCCTCAGATATGGACTAGTATCAATAACATGTTTCAATTCACTGATAATTTTTTTTTCCTGCAACCATTTATTCTTTGCCATTGCTTGTGTGATACTTTCCCTTCGCTTTATTCTGTCTTCACATTGTGATTTTTATGTTAGAGATCTAATGCCTGCATTGCCTTTCCACTAAGAAAGCAATACCTTCGTATCATTCCCTCTCTTCTCCTCTCACTTATCAATAAATTCCTCAAGAATATCGTTTCTCTGACTGCCATTTTTACACGACAACTTTGTTTGTTGGTCACATCTGTTTGTTAGCCACATCTGCCATGACAGTCCATTGATCATTGACATAGTGTATTTTTTGGTCTTTTTCTGTTAAAGATGATGCTCTTTTCCTGATAGACATGGCATGTGCTGCAGATTTTTTTTGTCCAGACACTCATTTCTTTCCCTCCTAGTAGCCTGAAACTGTACTGGAATGATCAAATCCCAACTGCAAAGATCTATCTTCTAAAGCTTAATCTTAATAAGTAGTTGTCACAATCGAAAAGAAAACTCAGATTAGTTGTCATCTGAGATGGTATCCGCTCCAATTTGCATGTTGTTTCCTTCTCGTATTGTGTCTTGCGCTATCTATCTTCTAAAGCTTAATCTTAATAAGTAACTTGGCCTGCTTACTTCCTGAGATGCTGACAGCATGAGCCATGCTTTCTGATTATTCCCAGCGCCTCCAAGTGTTGTAATGGAACTCAGGATCCAAGATGCTTACAGTTCTGAGTCTTGTGATATCTTTGTTCTCCATGTTATCAGTTGGAAAGGGAGTAGAACATAACTCATGATTAGCTGGTCAGTAATTTTAGTAATAATATCAGTATGAACTCTATTGATGAGAATTGTCTCTCTTGATTTAGCCCGCATATAGCTAAGATGCAGAATCTTTTGAAGGGTAGACGTCCATTTCGGTGCTTAGACTTCCTGTTCGGGTTAGTCACAAATGTAACTTGAATGTTGCCAAATTGAAACCACTTTCAGCCTTGTCATTAGGTATTCTATTTGCATATGAACGTTATTGGTCTCAAGACTGCTTGAAATTCTTCTTCTGTGCTTTAATTCAATATCATGTTCTTTTGATTCCTAAAGGATTTTGTGCTGACCTCATTGCCATGTATCATGATTTACATCATCAGCTGTGAGCAAACCACTGAATTATAAGGATGCATAAATGAATGCATGATGTGTGATGAAGTATCATGTACTAAATGAACACCAATTTTCATCATAATGGCCTTGTGAATAGGCATCATTTCTTTTTCCCAGGAACTTCATGTGATATATTTTCTGTCATTCCTCAAGACGGCTCCCAATCCCCTCCTACCCCTTACAAAATTCCGTGGCAATTTTCTTTATTAGGAAATATTCCTTCACTTAATTATGGATAGTGAAAGATGCTTTTCACGTATCTGTAAAAGGCCCTATTTTCCTGGGAGATAAACATTTCTTATCCCTTTCAGATTCTCATATCTGGAATTGTAAATTTCTTTTTTTTGAAACTGGTTCACATGAATATTATTATTTTGCTTTATCTATCCAATTTTCTCTCTGCCAGGTATATGAGTGGATGACCGCACAAGGAGAGAGATTCAATATCTACTCCAGTGACATTGCTATACAATTGGATCTTGTCTCCAAAGTGCGGGGAGTATCAGAAGCGGAAGACTACTTTGCTGAACTCTCTGACACCTTCAAGGACAAGCGCACCTATGGGGCTCTTCTAAATGCTTACATGCATGCAAAATTGAAGGAGAAGGCAGAGGCCATATTCGAAGTAATGAAAGAAAAGGATTACGTGACAGATGCACTTCCTTTTAATGTGATGATGACTCTCTACATGAACCTTGGAGAGCACGAGAAGGTGGAGTCCATCATCACAGAGATGAAGGACAGGAGAGTAGCAATGGACATCTACTCCTACAATATCTGGATCACCACATGTGCCGGCAGAGCTGACACCCTGGAGATGGAGCGGGTGTTTGAGGATATGAGCTCCGATGAGAGTATAAATCCAAACTGGACCACTTACAGCACGCTGGCAACCATGTACATCAGACTTGGTGACACTGAAAAGGCCGAGAAGTGCTTGAAGGATGTCGAGCTCAGGGTCACAGGCCGGGATCGGCTGTCCTTCAACTACCTACTTGGGCTCTATGGGCTCATCGGGAAGAAGGATGAGGTCTACCGCATCTGGGATTGGTACAAGTCCAGCTTCCCCAGCATACTCAACACAGGTTACCACTCGATGCTCACATCTCTGGTGAAAGTCGGGGACATGGATGGGGCAGAGGCAATCTACAGGGGCTGGACGTCCACAACAGCAAACCATGACCCCAAGATCTGCAATATAATGATGGCATGGTATGTTCGGGAAGGGATGGTGGCCAAGGCCCAGACTTGCCTCGATGACTTGCTGGATGCAGGTGGAAAGCCAAACCCGAGTAGCTGGGAGATACTCTCAGCTGGGTACATCAAGGCCAAGCAGGCTTCCATGGGTCTACACTGCCTTAGGCAGGCTGGCTGCATGGAGCGGCCAAAGAAGTGGAGGCCCAGGCCGGTGACTGTGGCCAATTTCCTGGTCCTCTGTGCTGAACAGGATGATGCAGCTAGCGTGGAGGGGCTGCTCGAGCTCTTAAGGAATGCTGGCTGTCTCGACAGTGACGAGTACAAGTCACTGATCAGCACCTATGCTGGAGAAGCTCTGAAAAAGAAGGATGTGGTGGCCAGATAGGCAATGGCCCTGTAATGTTCCTGATTCTCAGTAGCCGACCTGCTCTCTAAAGTCCTCTCTGCCAAGGCTGCCCCCACTTGCCACGGGTTGATATGATATGTAGCGGCGTTTTTCTCTATGGGTCCGATTTGTTATGAGATTCCTGGATCCAGTTGTTTAGTACTATCGTCAAGTGAATAAGATCCATGGTATAATTGCCAGTGCAATGGAAGTTCCAGGCAGTCCGGAAAAAACGCAAATGGCTGCTAAGAACGAGGGAGTTATTGGTGCCTTAACCTTCCAGGTAAGCCATTCTATGACCATGTATGTTTCCACAATTTTCTGTAGTGAGTTGAGTTCGACTCCTTCATGTCTAGTTAATTCTGAAGCTTGTTTTGGGTTCTTCACTAAGCGTTTCTTCTGTCCGTCTTTGAATGGATTCCATGAACCTTCTACTCTCTCCTCTCGTCAAAGGTGGCAATATCACAGTAGAGAAGGTGGTTCAGCACGTCTTCAGTCCTCTGGGAGGATCTTAATCTAGCACAGTGTGAACATTGGGATTGGCGTTTGGCTTTTTCAGTTTTAACCCCCCTGAAAGCACCCTGAAAGGACCCTGAATTAGAGAAGATCCGAGACTTTGTCCTACTCGGAAATACTCTCCTAATTAGAAGATCATAAAAAGTAAAATATCAATATAATATTCTCTCAGAGTAGGTTATATTATTTTAAAAAAAGAGTCTATCTTGAAAGTATTTATTGCATAGTTTTGCATTATTTACTCCTCTCCAATATGTTGCAATTTCTTGTTACTTTCTCCATACATAATGCAAAGTCTTTGCAAGACACTTTCTGAAATTAGAGCCGATTAGTTTCAATGTCGCATTCTATTGATACATATCTCTGTGTCGTATATCTTTTTTTTTTTTGGTTTTATGCCATTGAAAAACTTCAACAACAAATGAAGACATAATCTGTAATATATGCATTAAATTATTGAGTGATATTGATATTATATGCCAATATCATGCCTTATTCATGGGTGGAAATTGATTTTCGGTTAATCATACACATTGACAGGGAAATTAAGACGTTGATCTTCCTCTTAACTCCTAGTTTTAACTTAGGATTTAATCTAAAGCATCAAATTCAGTTTTTATATAATGGTAAAGCATAAGCTTCAATTTTTTTATCTTTAATGAGCATTTATCTATGGAGTATCAATATAAATGAAAAATATCTCCACCTATTCCCTATAGGATATCATCTAATATTGGATAAAATACTCAAATAAATGCCATAGTTTCAGTCACATATTGAGATGGCCTGAACTTGTTATTTATCCCAAAAATAGACTCCTTTAAGTGAATTAAAGTTTGTGACCTTGATAATTTTATAAATCTGGGATCAAAATAGGCACTTTAATGGTTATAATGTTAGCAACACAGTCAATTCTTTTAATTGGCACAAGGTTTCCAATTAATATGTATCTTGAAATTTCTATGAATCATGAATCCTGTCAATAATGTGTGAGACAACTTTGTGAATACTTTTTATTCTTTCATATAGAAACAAAGTGTCACAAGTGACAATGTGACTACATTGAAGTCATCCATACCCATGTATTATAAAGACTGTTGGGCTTTAATTGATCTGGTATAGATTATTAATAGATGCAATTGTTATTTGGTGTATTGAAATCCGTTAAAATGTATCATATTTTACTATAAATAGATGTAAATGTACTAAAGTCCATTAACATGTAAAACTGAAAAAAAATAAAATCATAAGCAGCATGTATACCATTGTATCAAAATAGTACTATGACAATTGCCGCACAATCTGACCCACCTGATCTGACCTTATCTACTCACAAATAATAAGTTCCTACAACCCAAGTTTAATTGACCTCTTATTTCACATTGTACATGATGAGAGGTGAACCTTCCTACCTTTGTCTTTTATCAAGTTCTATGGGTATTTTTACATCATGAAATATTGTAATAGGGATTGATGTCTCTACCATATAGATAGCCCTTCAAGTCAAACACAAAATTTCATACAAGCTTATTTTTTGGGCCCAAGTTCAGAAAATTTTCTAGATTAGGTAAAAAAATTATTGGGACACATTCATTGGCATTACCAATGGACTTATTGAATTGAGAGATCAGATTACTACGGTGTCTACCCTCCAAAAGGCACCATACCTTAACTCATACCCTATAGGTCGTATTCATAGTTTTCCCTCTCTCCTAGCAAAGCAAGTAATTTTTACTCTAAAAAAGTTTTTTTGCACAATAATTAGGATTCACTTAGTCCAAACACTTTGCTTAAATTGCTAATAGTCTATGTTAGGTATCACAAGATATTAAATTTTGAAATACAATGATTTAATATTATTGGTGAACTAAAAAGCTAAATAATATATACACTGTGAGCAACAATAAAATATTTAAGTAGCATGAGTTAAGTGTTGACATTTGGCAATCATGAGTCAACACTTCAACATATAATAGAGAGCAAAGTACTCATGATATGACGCATCAAGATAATTGTTGGCATATCAACTATATGAAGTAGGTTAACACATGGTTAGTCACTTGGATGGTAAGGATTAGCAGCAACCTTTTACATGTTGAGACATTATAGTATGATAACCATTTTTGTCTCAACTATCATCACCAAGACTTATGTTTTTACATAGGTAACATGTCAACCCTAACATGAAGACCATAAAATAATTATGTATTGCAACTTATGTTGGCTATGCATTCTCATTTGACATTCCCATTATACTAAGGTGTCGAGACTAGCTTAATTCTCATTTTGATCCAACAATGATTAAAAAAAGTTGAATAAAAAAGCTAGTTTCCTGCAATAGCAATTATAAGTTTTCCATTTGCTACTTGTATTACCCAACATGTAAAGGATCATTAGTTTTGAAAATGTTGAAGACATCAAGTTGCCTCACCAAGCTTAAAGAAGCTCTTGAAGTTCTTCTGAGACACCATATTTTATAAGGAGGTTCCTTAAGTGAATATTATGACTTTTAGAATTTGAATACAAGAGAAGCAAGAAAGCTGTAGTCATAACTCCTTAGAATACATTTCAAAATAGGGCTAGTATAGTTCTATGAAGGATTAGTGGGCACTTCTATAAGTTGACTAGCTATAGCTTAAGGGGTAATTTGTTAAAAAGATTTAAACAAATATTTTAATTGTATTGGTTTGACTCATATTAGACTAGTATAAATTTTTGAGTGTTATTACTTTTTTTTTTCTCATAATTTTTATTTAGCATCGATTATATAAAATAGGACTATTATCCCCTCCATTAATAAGCATCATTATGGTAAAAAAGTCTCTAATTTGGTTTTATCTTGTCATCTTATTTGGTTATTCTATCAATTATTTGTCATCTTACTTGGATAAACTATGTTTGAAAAATTCAACTAAAATGGTTGGCAAAGTGATCTTTTAACCTAGATGAGCTCCTTTGCCTTGGTTTCTCATGACTCCCTCACCCTTGATAGAGGCATCTTTTCCTCATGGCCAAGATGGGAAATCCCAATGTCTAGACAAGATGAGGAGAGGGTTCCTCTATAAGGGTTAGTTACACTAGTTTGTTATAGCTCTAACCCAATAGGAGGCATGTACTTGTTAGAAACTCTATTTCCGTCTTTGGTAGAAGGGCTTTATTGCTCATGATCAAGTTATTTGAAAGTGTTGTCAAGATTTTTCTCCCACTAGTCTTCTGAACTCTTAGCAAGAGAATTCAGGGTTATTTGGCCCATATAGACCAAAATAGGAACCAAGAGGTTGGTGCATGTTCTCTGAAGGCTCCTTTTAGATTCTCTCTTGTACCTCGCTCACAAGCATCATTTAAACCCTAGTGAAATAACTAGTGATCTTGAAAGATATAACTTCAAGACCTTGAGAATTTCAAATAATTACAGGTATGAAAACCTCATTAAAGGAGGCTCTCACAACTTGAATGGTGTAACTATTCATTGCAAAAAGCTTCTCCTTTGCCACATACACCTTGGGTAGCTTTCTTTCATCTATAGTTTTAATTTTAGGCAACCAAGTCATCATAATTTTTAAGACATTGCCTACTAAGTCTAATGGCTATTTTTGGATTGAGTGCAATACGATTTAAGAGTTGAAAATGGTGCCAAATGTGTTGACCTAGTGTCAATGAGTTTGCTACTTGAAATATGTCTCAACCCATATCATTTAACTGCCAAGCCTCACACAATGTACTCTCTAGATTTTATCATGTTCTCACTCCTACACATTATGTCCTATGTTTTGCTTCTTTTTTTCTATTTACGAGGCCTATCAACACTTTGGTACTTAATTAGTCTAAGTTGTGTTTGCAAACATTTTGAGTTAGTAAAATGATTTAAACATATTTTCCAACTTAACATTATCTTCAAATGATTTCCTCCATAATTTGCTAGTATGTGAAATTTTAAAATAATATTTTAAGTAAATCTAGATGTTTTGTCAAATAGTTAGATGGTTTCATGTGACAAAGAGTCTCAATATGCCTAATAAATTAGAATTGATGTTATTTTTGTTTACTTTAGAGATTATGATGTTTTGATAATGAAAAAAATGGAAGAAAAAATTGATAAAGTTAATGATGGTAAAAGTAATATTTTTTGATGATTGTAACAGTTGTTAGTGAGGAAAGCCTTGTTATTTGGAAAGTATCAAGAGTAAAATTTTCGTTTTACATTACAAGCTAAAATGAGTATTTTTTTGATTGTTGAAAAAGTCCAAACTTGTTGTATACACTATAAAATGATTTATGATATTTATTGAATATTTTTTTTGTAACTTTATCAATAAATTTTTGTATACTCAATCACCTCTTTGAAACAAATATTTTTAGGTATTAAATGGCTGTTCAAAAGTCAGAAAAATAAGAAAAATTGGTGCATATCTAAGGTAGACTCTTCAACAAGAAGCATGAGGAACAATGATGAATTAAAAACTAACGGCTAATAATTCAAGTGAAACAAAGTTAAAAGGAATATCCTCAATTATATGCTTTCCAACCAAGAAGTTAACGTTTATAAACCTCTAAGAAACTTGGGGCTTAAGAAAAGAAGAGTGAGTTCTCCTCTTAAGCAAGCCTCTAATAACTTATGAGTGAAAATTTGAGATAGTTGGAATTATTAAATCTAGTGATAAAGGCTAATAAGTCTCTATTATCATGAGTTAATAGTTAATTTAATGATATTCTATGTATTAACTCATGATAAATATTCTTATATTTACTTTAAATTGAAAAAAATAATTTTTACATGACTAATGTAAATATATGATTAATTATGTACTTTTCTATAATTTTTATTCATATTTTAACTTAAAATAAAATAAAATAAAAAATAAGAATATAAAAAGAGAGGGAACCCACTAGCTAGTCATTACTCATCAGTTGACCCTAAGGGCATTTTTCTCAAGTGGGTGGGCCTAGATTGGATGAAACCACGAGTTGGGCTCTAGTAACTAAGGACCCACAGACATGTGGATTCACTCTTCTTTTACATCTCTAGGGTTGAATTGGTGCAGAGAGCAAAGTATGATCTCATAACATGTATGTTGTGTGGGGGAAGACTAGCTAATATCTCTTCTCCCCTAGTGATCTTAACCATTTTGTTTTCGAGAGAAATCAACTAATAGTTTAGATAGTCCAATAGTTATATTGATCTCAAACTCTCCAAAACAGTCAATATGGGACTAAACCATCATCTCTTCTCGTTGGCCAAAATAATATCACAAAAACCCTTATATAAAGAAGATATCATATTCATGTGTTCACTATTTCAAGGATATCATGATAATTTGGTTAAGTTCACTTATGGAGTCAGATGATCGATGGAGGTTTGAGTTGTCAAAATTTATGTTTTTTTATTTCAACTTTGTGATTTTTCTATAGGAAAATAATCAATAGGAAAAACCAAAAAAATAGTTATTATTGATAAAATCTTTATTAGTGATAATTAAGTATTATTATTAGTAACTGATCAATAATTTTGAATAGAAAAATAAGAAGTTTTGAACAAGCCATTGTCGGGGACAAAAGAATCTACTAAGAGATTTGTTGCAATCTTTTCAAAGGGTTCTAAATGTAATAAATATTCTTATCTTGCTATGTGAACCTAAGCATAAAGCTTCTTGAGATGCACCTCACTTCCATCAGGCTTAGCTCTGTCAGGTGATAACCATTGAAGTAGTATTTATGTCAAACTTCTATTCCACTAAGTGACAACTATTAGAGATACTTCACTAATACTATTCTTTCTCCTCTGGACTTGGCATATGAATTAAGAGAGTGACCACACTGTGTACATTTAAGGAGAGCCTTCGAAGCCATACACACTATTTGAAAACCTTCTTAACATCTAGAATTATGATGATCACTATTGCAACATTAGAACTTTTTTTTTACTATTTTAATTTCATTTAACTATAACTTAATGATAGTTTGCTTGAATTTAAATTTCAAAACTTTCCTTTAGTTTATTACAGTTCATTTGATCTTTATAAATCTTGATTTTATCAATTGAAGCTTTTGAAATCACTTACGTCATAATCACCAAGTGACTATTTTCATTCAAAGTGTTGTTTGAGTGATGCCAATGTCTACTTGATGTCAATGCTTAAAATTTTCTTTTTCTTTAATTTTTTAAAAATATTTTCTTATGATCATTTACTATAAAAATTATATAAAATGATCGTAATAAGCCTTTTATTTGGTGGTAAATTTATCAACTCATATTAAAAATATTATCAGATACTATGAGTAAGACATGCAAGATCCCACTATGTTTTCCAAACTCGTTTAAATAAAATCTGAAGAGAAAGTATTAGAGAAACCACATGGATTGGGTGGATGTATTGGTCAAGAAGAGAGAGAGAGAGACAAGGGAGTCATTGATTGCAATAATTGGAGGATAATGTCACCCTCTTAGTGTGCATGGTTAATGGGTTTACTAGAGTTAATGACGCCTTAGTTGTCTCTAACGACGGGTGTTTTGTTTATGAGGGCTGATCAGCTAGTCCGAGAGTGAAGATGGGGGTATATTGATAATAATTTACTACTAAAATCCTTTTTTCCATATCCCCTCTACAGCTAAATCCCACATTTGGTGCTTTGTTGATAGTGGAGGGGGCCATGGAGGATTAGACCCGACTCTCCCGTTCGTGCTGGTCACCGAACGGGCGATAATTTGGACGAGTGTATATAGACGGCGGCTGCCCCGACGGAGACAGGCAGGCGAGGAGAGTGGTCGATTTGGCGGAGGAGAGGCCGCGGGGTATCCCAACAGGCTAGGGGATTCGCTCTCTGCGGGTTCCGTGATGCAATGCGGCGTCTCTCGTCCGCTCACCTCACCCGCAGGTCGTCCCGGGGATTCCGCCGCCGGTGTTCCTCCCGCCGTGAGTAACAGCCGATGCCGGGGGAGATCCTGAATCCGCTCGTCCAGTCCGCCCTTAATTTGGAGAATTTTGCCATCCTCTTGGGGTTTATTCCCTAGATCAACCCGGTGGCCGCTGGGCTAATTTTTCGCGGGTTTTTCATCCATAAGCTCTAGGGGAGATGCGGTCGCTCCTTTGGAGCTCCCCTTCTTCTTCTGCATCCTCATCGTCTTCCTCGTCTTCCAAGGGTTCTCGAAAAAACCGTGCGAACGGCAGCCGTGGGGGGATGCACGTCTACTTGAATGTATACGACCTCACCCCCATAAACAACTACCTGTATTGGCTCGGCCTCGGGGTCTTCCACTCGGGAATTGAAGGTGTGCGTTTCTCCCAACATTCTTTGGTTGTTCCAGGAAACTTTATTTCCATTTTAATCTGTTTTGCTGCATCGTGTGATTCATATCACCTTAGGGAAAGGAATGTTTTGCTGCATCCAACACGTCCGACGCCCTTTCCCCCTCATCATTCTGCCTCTTTCTGATGCATGTCTCTCTTTCTACTTTTAATTCGCTTCTTCAATTTGGCTCTATATTCTGCTCTAATGGTAGAAATAGTGGAAAAGCTTTATTCAAGAGGTACTATAAATTACTTTCACATTTTTTTTAGCATAGTTGTTGTTTAGAATGCGGAGGATTTTAGATGATTCTTTAATGGACGAAATCATTTTTTATGTCGTCAGAAAATGTCATGTACCCCTTTGTTTAGAACTTCACATGTGTATTACATATTTTGTTGGTTGATCAGATTTTTTTATGTGAAAAAAAACCAATGTTTTTCATTTATGTTACAATTTAATATCAAGACCTATCCTTTTTTTCATTTATCTTTTAGATCCGGTACCTATGAATATCTTTTCGTTTTTATTTATCTTTAGTTACTGAAAATATTTCTTTGGAAAATGAAATGTCTTGATTAGTTTCATTGAATAGAATTCCTGTTAAGCCACTTCAACATGCTCACGTAGATTATTCGAGTAAGGTGACGAACAAGGACATGAAGGTTGATGATCAGCGAGAGTGTCATTTAAACTTCTCGCAAATGCATGCAATTTTGTTTTCGTTGGACCCTGCAGCACGGAGTCTAAGCCCAGCAACAGCAGACTAAAATCTGCAGTGTTTCAACCCGTATTCTATGTCCTCGCTTCTATAACACCATTGCATCTTAGTGTTAACAATCTGCAGATTGTTCAATAAAACTTGGGGCTGCTTGCACATCTCAATTTCATTTGAGACTCCTCAGCAGCAGCAGTTGAAACCCCATCAGCCAATTTATCAATCTTTGGAGTATATGCTCAAATAAGTTCGTTTGAAATCTGAAAAGGAGAACTTCGTTACACTTGTTAGTAAAACTTAGAGCACATGGGAGCTCTTAACTAGGAAAGATCTCTATGATACCATCCAGAAGAAAATTCTTCACATCTATTTGATATTTGTGCCAAGATTAAGTCTATGTGTTGATCACACTTCAAAAACATTTTACCGTTGAATTTGTTTTTTGCCAATGGCCGGACCTCTTTAACTGTTGAAAAACGTGGGATTGATGAATGACAAAGATAATTTTGCCACTGATTACCTTCATTGCTATTGTTCTGGCTTCAACTTTTCTTGACAAGAATTTTCTGGTGGTGAATCTGCTTCCCCATGTCTGGTCCTCGGACCCAAAGTTACTTATGAGCTTGTTTTTTTCTTTCTGGCAGTCCTTTCTCCACATTGCTGAATTATTGGAATTTTTCTCTATTTGCTACTCTCACTCTCATGCATACAATGATGCTCTCCTCCATCGTACCAAACATACTGATTTGATTTTGCCTTTGTGTAATCCATTCATACTGATTATCTTGGGCACGATGGCTAAAAGACTAAAAGTTTTTCGCGCCCCAGAAAAAAATCTAGATGTGTCTAGTCCTCACCCTCCAATGCAGAGAGAAGGTTCTTCAAAGTGGAGTTTAGACCTGCCAAGAACTTAGTTTATGATGTCCTGCCTGTACTTCAAGATTTCCTTCTGACCTTGCGTAATAGTTGTGACATTCATGGAGTAGTTGTCTAACTCTTCCTCTTAAGTTCTCAAGACGCCAAAATATTTTGTCCTAAAGAAGTTCCCTAGTTTCAACGCATTATTTCACTTGTCAATTGGAGAATGGATAGAATATCAATTTTATGGTCCCAATTGTTTTTGAAACCGAGTCATTTTCTGTAATTCATTCATTTTATTCCACTTCCTACAGAATTGATAATCCAGGCTGTGAATTTTATTTTTCAATGCTACGTAAACTGTGGAAGTGATCTTCAGTATTTAGTAGTTTGTTCCTCCCATTTATGTGCCTAATATTTTCATTTCTTGCTATGTATATCTCGGTGGCTGTTGACCATATCATGTAGTTACTGTCTGTAAATTTCACTGATGTGATTTGAAGTTATCTATTGACACTCTTCATACATGTGGCCATCGTCGTTGGGGACACCTCACTCTATTGCTTCAAATAGATGATCAGTGACCATCAAGGATCTCCCAAGGGTAACACCTAAAAATAGCTTGGAGCAACCCCTGACAAATAATTCATATTCTATAGGTTTACTTACCCTTTATAGACCTGAGACCTCAAATCATTTGTCAGGATGAAACTCTCAACTCCAAAAGCCAGGTGAGCAAGTCTGGAACAGTGAAAAACTTGAGATCTGTCAAGATTGGTGGATGGCTGGACTGTGTCCTTTCATCCAATGTAAATTGATTGGCGACTATGGGAAAACCTAATGGCCTAGTTTTGCATTTTGGAAAGTCCACTCACTTGGCTGGGTGCTCTCTTCCTTTCCTCCTGCTGGAAGACTGCTATTGGGACCCTATATAGTGAGATTGCCCACTGGAGACTCCCTTTTCTGTCTTCCTGGAGAAAATCTGACATTTCCTAATGTGAACAAAGGAACAGATCTGATAAAGTGCTTAGTTTGATACTAATAGCTGTTTACTATGACAACACATGCAGCTACTGTCCTGCTACTACTGCCAGTGCTCTGGTTTGCCTAAATCATTTAGTAGTTTCGGGTTCTAAACCCCCTCCATTGAAAACAGCTTGTATTTTGTAATATATTAAATTAAGCCGTCACTTCAGCAGATGGGTAGCAAAACCCTGTAGTCACTATCTGTAATTCGTTGAAATTGTGTTTATAATATCAAATTTGAATTAAAAATAAGGCAATGTTATGAGATTTGCATTCTACTCTTTATGGTTTTCTCTATATGCTTAATTGCTTTTCTTCTTCAATAGCCTTTGCATATTCTATAGTTCTGACACTAGTTTAACACAGTACATGGGAAGGAGTATGGCTTTGGAGCCCACGAGTTACCAACAAGTGGAGTATTTGAGGTAGAACCCAGAAGGTGTCCTGGTTTTATCTACCGGCGTTCTCTGTGGTTGGGATCCACAGATATGTCTCATGAGGAGTTCCGCTCATTCCTGGAAAACTTTTCTGGCAAATATCATGGCGACAGCTATCATTTGGTTGCCAAAAATTGCAACCATTTCACAGATGATGTTTGCATGCATTTGACTGGTAGACCAATCCCTGGGTGGGTGAACAGGCTGGCCAGATTAGGTAACGATCGCTTGTAAACTACAGCGACCATTGTTTGATTTCTTATATCCTGCTGATTGACATACTATCAATGTTTCAGGTTCCTTCTTCAACTGTCTTCTTCCTGAAAGTATTCAGGTTACAGCTGTTCGTCATCTGCCAGATCATATCTCACTCTCCGGTAATCATGTTGATGTTCTAGACGATTCATTTGCTTCCTTCTGCCTCCCTGGACTATATTTAGTTTCTGATAGATACAAATGACTTGATCCAATTTGCATTGACATGAAAGTAGAGAAAATACATTTGCTTGGTCTTCTTCTGTAGAAATGTGTTAAGGTGTTTAAAACTGTGAAAATCGAAGTAGATGCTGGTTTTAATTAGGATGGATCAGGCAACTGAAACCAAAGTTGAAGTGCCGTAGTCCAAGCAACACATTGGAAAAAGTAAGCATTTCGCATCCTCAAGTGGATACATTGATCCGGCTCAAAAGATAGAGGTCTTGTGACAGGTCCTAGAAGTGATAATCAATATTCACTGATGGAAAATGTCTTTAATTTTTTTTTCTATTTTTTTATCGTTTGACTTGTGGGTCACAGGTTTCCTGACGGAGTCGAAAATGCTCTGGGAAATTGAACTGAAAAGAAAACTTCTAAAATCACCCTATTTGAATTGAAAATGATTGTTCAAAATCCTGCAGCACTACCGTTTGTGATGGCTTGGGTTGATTTATCAGACTGCTTGGCCCAGAAAAAATGCTAATCAATTTGTATTCATTTTTACATGATGACAGCCCATTTTCTCTTGGTCCTGAAGGATACTTTGCATGCTTTTTCATGAGTTTTGAATTATAATTTGCAAGTCTTTGTAAAAAAAATCACTAAGACTGCTGTCATTCCTTGGACGAACCACAAAGCAGATGGGTCCGAGTCCTTTGCATCATCCATTGGCGAAAGTGATGAAGAAGAGCTTGATCATCACCTTCTTGAGACACCAAACAGTGAACCGACGGGTTTTCCAAAGTAGCAGGGAGTCTCTCGTTATGGTTTGGCCTACCTCTACTGCAGTAGTCATTGATTCATTCCCAAACCATCAGTTGTCATAGCCTTTCTTTTTGACGGCTGTTACCCAATTCCTCTAGCCTAATTGTTTTCCTCCCTCTGAAGCTATCTGCAATGTGCTTATTGTATTTATGAAGTGCTAAATTATTCTGACATCTTGGGTGTAGTATTTTTCTCTACGACATTAAATTAGCACTTGATGGTACTTTAGTCATTGTTTTAAGAAGTAATCAATTTTATAATTTATAAAAACCAAATCTCTGAAAATTATAAATTCGATTATTTATAATGTATAGTGGATTTGGGTCGGTTCATAAAGAAAACTTGGTATTTGCGATCCATGAATATTTTCTATTAAGTGTTTGGATGAGGTTAAAAACACAAAAAGAAATGAAAAAGTAATATTATAAGTATGAAATGAAAGAGTAAATGAAAGAGTAATCTGAAAAATGATAGAGGTGAAAACGCCTCTACAAGCAGCTAGTCTACTGGTGGAGCACTAAACCTGTTCAACATTCATAAAGAAAAAGAAATACAAAATGAAATATATGTGGAAATTAAAACACTCAATTCAAAGCTTGAGAGTGTGGATGTTTTTGTTGCGGTGCTCGACTCCTCTTCTACTTGTCACAGTGTGAGGAAGTTTGCAATTAATGCTGTTTCTGTTGTTTGTCGAGAGTGTGTTGTTATTACTGTCGATGTTATCGTCGTGTTCGTCTCCTCCTTTGGTTATCACGTAAAATGGGAGTTTGCAGCCATTGCTACTGTTGCCACCACTACTACTGTCATTGTCATGAGTGCTGCAGCCTCTGTTGTCATCACTACTATTGTTATTACTACTGGTGTCATTCTCGTGGTTATTGCTGTCATGATTTCCTGTTCTTTCACTTATTGCACTCTCTATCTTTTCTCCACAAGCAAGCCCTAATTTCTCTGTGCTTACTTCTTCTCTCTCCTCTCTCTCCCTTTAAATACCCCCCATTAGAATGGGCTCGTATGCGGCCTCTTAGTGGGTCACTATAATAGGTCCGCTGGTCAACTTATTAAACACTTAAAATAAATACAAAGAATCTATTTAAAATTTAAACTACTCTTCTTCTAATTTTCCTGTATGTAAATATATATTTTTTCATCTATTAGAATACCCAACATTGCATCAAAAAGAACTTTTGATTCAATAGAATATTCATATTATAAAAGATATAGAATTTAATACTTTTGTATGTAATTCAGTAAACAATACAAATTCACATAAAAAATATGTTTATATCAAATGTATGCTTTCATTAAGGGATTTAAACTATAATCATATAAACTATGTATATCCTATCATATAATATTGAGGCTTTATCAGCGCTCATATTAGAAGCTAAACCTAGCTTCTGACATGATTTTACCTAGGTAAGGTCTATATGTGATTCTAATTGAATCTTGATGTTGGTTCGCATGCTTTGTGATCTATGAATAGAAGCTTATAATCATGTGTAAAACTAGGCAATTCGCATCTCAGTGATATTTTTTCTTTCAATGAACAATGTGAAATAGTGATCGATGTGTGGGGATTTAATTTTATATTTTTAATAACCTAATGGGCCAAAGGTTATAGCATGCCGAGATGCTTGTTGCTTTTCATGGAATAAAGTGCTATGTAGCTAATAGTTGAACAAGTATCCTCAATTTCATCCAGCTCATAGTTCTTTGCCAAAATAATCATTCTACATGCATTCAATATCAATGAAGAAAATCCTTGTATTCTAACACGAATGAACCTTCAAGTTTGATTGGTCATACAAATGAATGATAAAATTATTATGTTCGTGAGTAGGTTCAATTTAAAGTTGTACAGTTAGATTGGGTGTGAATGGTTTGAGAAGAATTGTGTGCATATGAAGTAGTTGCATGATGATGTGATAAGTTTAGGGTGGTTTAGTCAAACTCTAGATGTGCTCTACTTCTCAAGCCACCATCCAAAATTCCTTTACGTTACCTAACCCACACCTCTACATGACCAAAGGCGTGAGCAAACCTTGGCAGCATGAGTCTAGTTTGACCCATTAGTAAATTGTCTATCATAGTTTCAGAAAAGTTTCATTGGTCGTGGAGCAAAACTTCATATAGCAAAACAACTTGAGCACCAAGGTTACATCTCAGTTGGAACTTAGATATATTAAACACTTTGACAGCTTTTCTCACATTATAAGATGATTTAGCAGTGTCTCATGGACTGAGGAGAGGAACCATTTTTCTAAACCTCGTTCTTACCGTGATGTATAATAATCAAGCTTAGGTTTGCACTGCTATTTGTGGTACAATCACGATAATTGCAAGAAACTTTGATGGGCAAGAAAGTGATTGCCCTGCAGACCACGGAATGAAAGTTATGGTAAATGAAGACAGACTTGTGCGTCCAAAGATTCCAGTGTTACATTACTTTGGGAAACCAATCATGCAGACATTACATTACTTTGGGAAGGCCCCATCCTTGACCGTCTCCTCCATCCGTGCTCCGTTTGTGTAATATTTTGCCCCTAACATCCCTTTGTGGGATGGGATGACGGCTGGATGAGTTGAGGTGGGATGCATTCAATGATCAGGATTGCTGTCATCTGGCCTGCGGCTCTTGGCCTGCGTCAGGGTGCGGTAGGTGCGACACCTGTCAGCGAGGACGGACGAGAAAAGTTAACTCGCTCAGGAAAATCAGCGTGTGCTCTCGTTCCCATGTCCCTCTAGTTTTCCCCCTCAGGTCTTTGTTGTTCCCCCATCCAATCTGTTCCTTCCCTCTGTTATGTTTGTCACCCCACTCTCTTCTCCTACCCCGAGTGCCAAGCTTCAACAACAACTCAGGACGTTGCCCTAACTCATGGAGAGACTACTCTACCAGGAAAGTAGAAACATTAAGGAGAAACTCCAACCCGACCTGCCGGAGGAAATGGACACCACAGAACCCAGCAAGGGAGGATCTCAACTGGAGCACTGAAGAACAAGAGGATATGATGATAGTTTTTATGCACACCCATAGCATCCTCCCTGATTTGGCCATAGTGCAGGCAGCCACCAACCAAATATGGGGGAATTTCAGGCCCAGCAAAGGCGGCTGGAGCTACCAATGTTCATCAACGAACCCAGAAAGGTGGGTACTTCTTGCAGAACCGTACTTTGCCACTTACACGTTGATCGGCTTAGATAGATTGGCAGAGATGATCCTTAGCCTAGATGGACGTGCTCTCCTCTAGTTCTAATTAAGTGGACAGAAAAGTGGCCTCTTAATGGCCTCTTTCATTTAATGGCCTCTTAATGTTTTACCTACCCAACATGTTTGTTACTAATAACTATCCAGTATATATGGGGACTGTAAACTAGAGTTAAAATGCATCGTCTTTTAATATCATCCACATTGGATGTAAAATTGAAAATTAAGAACTAGTATGATATAACCCTAAAAAATGTACGCAAATCAATAAAATTTAAGAAATATTAGAAGAGAAAGGGAGGTGGATAGAAAATGTTTGGAGATCCCACAAAAATCTAGAATGCACCGAAGAGCATTCAAGAGGCAATGCACACTACCACTCATTGTCCTAGCCCCAATACTCCTAATGAAATAAAAAGTTATAACCTTGCTCTTCTATCTTACTTGAGCTGACCAGCAGGCTAAGCCTATCAGGCTGGTCTTTTTCAACTTTTGAAGAGTGTAATAACTAGGGTTGTAGGGTATTAGATTTGATGTTGACTTGTTTCATAAACAATCTATTTTCATCTTGAACTCATGTCCTTGGTACCTTGGTATATTGAAGTAGTAGTACAATCTTGTTCCTCAATTAGGTTCTATAATGATTATTATTGGAGATGATTTGTAATGAATGACCTTTCTTCTAAAAATAAATTTATGGCCTTCTTACTCATGAATTTCAATTGTATTTTCACTATTATCTTCCACATTAATTCTTTTTCATTTTCATTAACAATATCAAAATCTCACATAAAACACTAGATTAATTGGAAATTAGTTTTTTTGGATATTTAACAAGATTGGTTCTATGGTTTGTAAATTCTATTAGATAACTTGTGAATGTAGTAGATGTATTGTTTGCAACTTTGAAAATCAAATTTTGTTTCTATTTATTAGAACAAAGAATGCATAATATTTTTTTTTTTGTGATAAACTCAAGCATATTACTTTTAAATGTTACAAGGACTTTTGTT